TCAGGTAGGCGACTGAATTTCTCCCACGCCCATACACCAGCTACAGTCTCCTTTTCGATCTGCGCATAACTTGGCACTCCGAACCCGTTAGCGTTCTTGAAGAAAGCCACTGGCCTCCATATGATTCCACCATGCAGCTGTAGCAAAGGCACCTCCTTGACTGTAGCTGCTTGCGTCCCGCACTCACCATGGTTGGCAACTTGGGATCATAGGAATGCCAGTACCGGTGCAACTGATTACCATGGCTCTTACTTTGGAGAAAGCAGACTCTTGATCTAGGCCCCAATGCCACATAGTATCGGCATGTAGTAGATCAGTCATTAATTTCGTAACAGTGGAGATATCCGGCAAAATTTCCCCAAATAGTTCATCAGTCCCCAAGATGCGTCTAAGTTCCTAAATGCCCTTCGGAGATTTCTAATTCAAAGATGGCATCCACCTTGCTTGATTCCGGACTGATTCCACTTTGTTTATTCTGTGTCCGAAATATACAATTTCTGATTTCCGGAACTTGCACTCGTCTTTGTTCAGCTTAAGTCCCGCTTTCTGTATGGCGTTAATTGTGTCGTTAAAGTCTTTTTCATGTTCAGCACTGCACGAACTGTGAATGAGTACGTCATACATTATGACTTCTGTACCGGGTAGACCGTACAAGAGCTCTGTCGTATGTTGCGCTGAAATATCTCTGGAGTTAAGGGAGGTCACTCCAAATGGCATTCTCTTGAAACAATAACGTCCAAAGGGGTCATGAATGTAGTAAGTTTCTGGCTATCTTCATGTAGAGGAATCTGATAATAACCGCTAGAGGCATCCAGGGTTGTGTATCTTGGATCCACATTGCTTTGGAGCAATATCTTCCAATGTTGGCATCATGTAGTGTTCTCTTTCTACACCTTCATTTAGCTTCTTCAGGTCAAGCTTACAAATCCTTACGTTTCCTGATTTCTTGAAGTTACACAGGTACCATTGGGTGCACACACCACTCTGTTGGCTCGGTTATTTTCTTTTTATGATACCGGCATCCTTCATACGTGTCAAATCTTCTTTCCTTTGTCTAACAAAGAAAATTGTAATCTTCGTAACGTTGCAATACTGAAGGGAACTGCCTCAGGTTTCAGTTTTATCTTCACTGGTTCACAATTCACAAGTCCGAAAGGACCAATACCTTGACTGTACTTTGTTTATCTCTTCGTGCTGATTTCATGAATGTTCGGCTTCACCAAAACCCATCTTGTATGAAACATTCCTACTCAGCAGATTGTTATATCCGTCTGTGACATAAACGTTGAACTGTATAATTTCACCATGATATTTTCACCTGTGCAGGAAACAATCCTGAACACCCTATTAGGTGTGAATGTTCAGAAAGTTCACGATCTGGTGGTAGTAACTTTGGTTTGTTGAAAGTTTGTCATAAGTTTCTCCTGAAATCACCGTGGTGTCTGGACCGGTGTCAACCTTGAATTCAACAGGTGTGTCTTGAACATAAAATGTAACCATCCATGCATCATTATCATCTTCACAGCTGACAGATCCAATATAGAATCCCTTGCCTGATCATCGGACAAAACGTCTGTCTCTACACTGTGAACATTTTGTTTTCTATTGCTTGTACACATCTTGGCATAATGTCCTTTCTTGTTACATACAGGACATGTCTGACCACTAGCGCGACACCGTCCTGAATGAAGATGACCACAAAGTGAACAGGGCTTATTGAGACCGTATGATTGATGATTCCTTTGGTTTCCATGGTTACCATTACTTCCATGATGAAAACCTCGTGGGGAGGCCAAATCTTCTACCTCTATGGGCATTAAAGTTCATATTTCTGGAATTTCTACCTCTTACCTCTTCTTAAGTCTGAAAATTGTTTTGATTCTTGATTTGAGACTTGGACTAGTTCCGTTTCCCTGGCTGTCTGCATAGTCTGATCCAATGTTAATCCAGGAATTAATTGCATCCGTTCTGAAACTTGTCTGTCAGAAATTCCAATGACAATCCTGTCACGAATACTTCATCATCACGCATATTCCCAAATTCACAGTACTCTGCAAGTTCGTACAACGAGCGTATAAACGCTTCCACACTTTCACCCGATCGTTGATTGAGTTGGTGAAACTTGGTTTCTCGTGAACCACATTCCGTTTTGGAACAAAATGTTCATCGTATTTCTGAATCACTTTGTCAAATTTCCCATCACCTTCTTCGTCAAATGTAAAAAGAGTTCATAATGTGTTCCCCTTCCTTTCCCATTGCGTAAATTAGTGAGCTTTTTCTGAACATCTGACTGTTTATCCACCTTTTGTCGCGGAACGAAATCTCATGAACCGTTGCCGCCATTGGGGCCACTCGGCCGGTGTAAGAAATCTATGGACGAAAACGTGCCATCTTTCTTAATTACGTCTTCAGTACTTTACTCTGACACCATGTCATAGAATACGGGAACTCGTGACCTTGATATATAGGGATTTAGTAATTGATTCGGTAACTCAACAACATGTCATACAAGTTCGTCCTGGTGCGGTTTCCCGCGGCGTCTGCTAGCCAGTTACATTCGCTCTGCGCATGCCCGATAAAGGGAGCATTAATTGAGAGTGGAGTAATCCTTGTTTCAATATGATACTATGACAAGTAATAAAATCACAGATCACACGGATACCATACGAATGGGTTCTTCTAACAGATTCTCACTGTCTGGGGTATATGGTGAATGTCTCTACAGTTTTGGTAATGAACCTTCCAGCGTGGGCAACAGAGTGTAGTTGGAAGTCTAGTCTAGTCCCTGCTATTTATTACTGCAAGGGGTGATGGGAAATCATGCTTTTGATTGGAATGATAAAGTGGGCAGCCATGATGACATTATTAGTGGTGTTAAAGTAAGGGGCGGTGGGGTAGCCTAATGGTTAAAGCGTTGGCTCGTCACGCCGAAGGACCGGGTTCGAATCCCCACATTGGGTACAATGTGTGAAGCCCACTTCTGGTGTCCCCGCCGTGATGTTGCTGGAATATTGCTAAAAGTGGCGTAAAACCAAACTCCAGTCAGTCAGTCAGTGTTAAAGTAAGTTGAAAACGATTTTTGTCGCTTGCTTAACATAATGGTGCGAGGCAAATGAGTGGATCGGCCCACCAAACCTGTTCCAGGAATTTCCAGTTCACGACTCCACTTACATGTATTACTGACTGGATTTTAAACCCCAAATACAACACAAGTCCAGTCTTTAATTCGCTGTCTCAAAAAAGTGTATTGAAACAAAGTACAGTGTCGCATGAACTCATTTAAAAGATAAAGAACTTGGACCCATGTATAAATATTATAGGGGCGAAACTAATATTTTATTACAATACATACAGGGGAGAGCCAATAATATTTCTTATATATGACACCATATCACACTGTTCCGGTATCTTATGTACCCAACTATGACGCCCCGTTGTCTTGTCAAAAACGTATTTTGAAAATGGAATGCTAAAAGGGTATGTACGCCCTCTGATTTTATGGTCTCAGTTTGAACAAAGTTGGAAATACCGTTTGTTAGTATAATTATAACTCTTTTCGAATTATTTACGTTGGGTTTTGGGTGGTTTTTTCGGTTTTCTTTTTTTCATTTTTGAGAGAAACACCCAAACTAGGTGTTTCAGTTTAGTTTGAATATATAAGAGCAGACATACGCGGATTAGCCCGTATGTCAATCTTTTCACACAAATAAAATATGTCAGATTTTCAACAAACTCCCTTTATATTTTCTCGTTTAGTCGTTGTTCAGTTGAGATAAACTAAACTGTACATTGTCTTTAATTTAGGGTTAATTCTTTAATAGACGTCCTACTTCTCTCTTAATAAATTTAAAGACACACCCAAAACCTGTTACTGGGTTCGAATCCCCGTTCGCCTTGATTTTGTCTCTAGCTATATGTGTGTCTGCACCATTTTCATTTCACCAAAATTTCAAACTTTTGGAAACTATATGAATTTTGGCAACCTCTCAGTTGAGGTATATCTGGAACACTTATTGTGTTATAACTGGCATCATGGTGGGTGTGTAGATGTGTCTGTTCACATTTGGGAGCTCTTGGTAGAAGCACTGGCCAGTTACTCTCTCTGTGCTGGTAAACATTGTATATTCGCTTTTAGAGGTACTCAACCTTTGTAAATACAACTTGTACATGTTTACATTTAAATAGCGTGGATGGCATTGTCTAGTGTTTCCAAAGTACCTTTAAAATCCATTTGCTTTGTCTTTGGCATTGCATCCCTGCTGCATTACGTTTGTCTATTTTTAATAAACATGCATGTAGTCACGTCCGCTATAAAACAATTGGACAGTTTCTGAACCCTCTCCTCTGTAATAGAGGCAGTAGTCGCTTAAGCGGTGTTAGTTAAGCAGCTTTCGGCAGAGACATCTTTCTGTAAAGATGCCATTAGTATTGAAAGTACTTTTGTCCATAACTTGCACAAAAATCCAATCAGAAATTTAGCTCTTTAAATAGTATTTTTGAAGAGAAGGACAATCGAAAATCATTATCGTTATGTGTGGCCGGACCTCACAATAGGGAAATATGTATTTCGATGTTGTAATTTTGTATGTTGAATATATTTCACCCTAACAGGCATCTGACAACATATTTTAAAACATATAATATATTACCCGGGCACGGGAACTCAGATGGGTGGTTGGTGAATTAAAGGAAAGGGAAGGAAAAAGAAAGAAAAGTTGAAATTACCGTAATTTATCAAATAATTTTAAAACTATATTTATTTGGTTTTAAATATAGAGCATGCTGACGAACACTTCCTACTGTTACAGAAGCTACTGTTGTGACGTGTCTTGGTGTAGGAAAATACACAAAACACGATGCTACAAATATCGTTACAGCTTGTCCTGAGGGACGCTATGGTTCTGGCTGCATGGAGACGTGTGGACATTGTACTGAGGAGATCAGAACTGTCACAATGTGAATGGGACTTGTAGTCATGGCTGCCAGGAGTACTGGAGTGGGAACATTGTGTAAAGGTTTGTATTTCTTTCCTGGCACTCACTGTATAACTCTCTTTAAGGAACATAAATTGTACTCATAACTGACAAGATGCAGGAACACGTTCTAGCAAATATCTTTATAAACATGTCCCTTACTGTTTTACTGCTGGAACAAATACCATATATTATATCATGATTTAGTCACAATTGTATTACAATCAACTCAGCTTATAGCAGAGATTTCTTATGGATGTGGAAAGGGTTTGTCGCTTCCATTATGGATGTGGAAAGAGTTCTTTTGGTTTCATTATGGGTGTGGAGAGGGTTTTGTCGCTTCTGTTATGGATGTGGAGAGGGTTTTGTCGCTTCTGTTATGGATGTGGAGAGGGTTTTGTCGCTTCTGTTATGGATGTGGAGAGGGTTTTGTCGCTTCTTGTTATGGATGTAGAGGGGGTTTAGTCGCTTCTGTGATGGATGTGGAGGGATTTTGTCGCTTCTGTTATGGATGTGGAGAGGGTTTGTCGCTTCTATTATGAATGTGGAGAGGGTTTTATCGCTTCTGTTATGGATGTGGAGAGGGTCTTGTCGCTCTGTTATGGTTGTGGAGGGGTTTGTCGCTTCTGTTATGGATGTGGAGAGGGTTTGTCGCTTCTATTATGAATGTGGAGAGGTCTTTGTCGCTTCTGTTATGGATGTGGAGAGGGTTTGTCGCTTCTGTTATGGATGTGGAGAGGGTTTGTCGCTTCTGTTATGGATGTGGAGAGGGTTTGTCGCTTCTGTTATGGATGTGAGAGGGTTTGTTGCTTCTGTTATGGATGTGGAGAGGGTTTTATCGCTTCTATTATGGATGTGGAGAGGGTTTTGTCGCTCTGTTATGGATGTGGAGAGGGTTTGTCGCTCTATTATGGATGTGGAGAGGGTTTGTTGCTTCTGTTATGGATGTGGAGAGGGTTTGTCCTTCTGTTATGGATGTGGAGAGGGTTTTATCGCTTCTGTTATGGATGTGGAGAGGGTTTGTTGCTTCTGTTATGGATGTGGAGAGGGTTTGTCGCTTCTATTATGAATGTGGAGAGGTCTTTGTCGCTTCTGTTATGGATGTGGAGAGGGTTTTGTCGCTTCTGTTATGGATGTGGAGAGGGTTTGTCGCTTCTGTTATGGATGTGGAGAGGGTTTGTCGCTCTGTTATGGATGTGGAGAGGGTTTGTTGCTCTCTGTTATGGATGTGGAGAGGGTTTTATCAGCTTCTATTATGGATGTGGGAGAGGGTTTTGTCGCTTCTGTTATGGATGTGTGGAGAGGGTTTGTCGCTTCTGTTATGGATGTGGAGAGGGTTTGTCGCTTCTGTTATGGATGTGGAGAGGGTTTGTCGCTTCTGTTATGGATGTGGAGAGGGTTTTATCGCTTCTGGTTATGGATGTGGAGAGGGTTTGTTGCTTCTGTTATGGATGTGGAGAGGGTTTGTCGCTTCTGTTTGTAAGGTGTGGAGAGGGGTTTGTTGCTCTGTTATGGATGTGAGAGTAGGCTTTGCCAGCTTCTGTTATGGATGATGGAGAGGGTTTTGTCGCTTCTGTTATGGATGTGGAGAGGGTTTGTCGCTTCTGTTATGGATGTGGGAGAGGGTTTTATCGCTTCTATTATGGATGTGGAGAGGGTTTTATCGCTTCTGTTATGGATGTGGAGAGGGTTTTATCGCTTCTATTATGGATGTGGAGAGGGTTTTATCGCTTCTGTTATGGATATGGAGAGGGTTTGTCGCTTCTGTTGTGTGGATGTGGAGAGGGTTTTGTCCTTCTGTTATGGATGTGGAGGGATTTTGTCGCTTCTGTTATGGATGTGGAGAGGGTTTGTCGCTTCTGTTATGGATGTGGAGAGGGTTTGTCGCTTCTGTTATGGATGTGGAGAGGGTTTTATCGCTTCTATTATGGATGTGGAGAGGGTTTGTCGCTTCTGTTATGGATGTGGAGAGGGTTTTGTCGCTTCTGTTATGGATGTGGAGAGGGTTTGTCGCTTCTGTTATGGATGTGGGAGAGGGTTTTATCGCTTCTATTATGGATGTGGAGAGGTTTTGTTACTTCTATCATGGATGTGGAGAGGGTTTTGTTACTTCTATTCCATTTGTAGCTGAGTCAGGATAGATAAAATTCTAAATTTATTATGAAACATTGATCCATTTCAAGAATACATGAAACATAAAGTAGATTATACAATAACTATATCAATAGACATTCCACTTCTTAGCAAATATCCCATAGATTTGGGCGTTTCTCAGTACATTAGCGCAATACAATGTGATTAAGAGCATGTGTCGTGTGTTCTGACAGCACGTTCTGTAGTTACTGTAGGTTAATTCAAATGTGTGCACATCCAATAACTGTTTCATCCGATAACATTTTTTTATGATTAGCTCGTGAGTGTCACTGTGCAAGCGACGGATGTGATGCCGACTTCCGGTGCCCAAGTGGCTGTCTCCAGGGCTGGTCAGGCCCCACTTGTCAGAGACGTGAGTAGAACACTATGTCTGTGGTTTGATTTGAAGCTATGCTAAGATCATGTGACCCAGGATTAAACATTTGCTCGTCTACTCTTATATATATCATGCACATGTGTACAAGGTTTCTCAGTACGATAACGGTTCAAACGGTTCAAATGGGATCATAAAGGGATGAATAAAGCGCGAATTTTGGGGAATTAGCTCTGCTTGGCAAGAGGTCTGCCCATACCAACCCACACACACAACATAACACCTGAGTAAATAAACAAGGAGTTTATTACACAGCAGTCACTTAACGATTTTACATAATCAGTCAATAATAGCATAGTTTCAATTAATTATTAGAACATTATTATTATCACAATGCAATCAGATATCAAAGTACATAAACATCACATGTAGATTCGTTATACACGACACATACTACATTAATCGCGATACATATTCCAATGTACACAACAATAGTTCACTACACTACACATCACCCCAGTGGGGTTCATACAATCTACATTCTGCAACGATCCCAAACAGCATAATATTCACAACGTAATACAATAGTTAAAAATATCCGACACACTCTATACGCTCTCTATAATAATCACAAAACAGTGTAGTGTCAATCAGTATTAAATAAACAATCATAAACTGTAAAACAGTAGATATGAGACACATACTAAGGGATGCCTCGTTCCACATAAACCTGAAGGTACTGCCAAGGGTGGTAACTTATAGTTAAGGTATTTACAATAGGTTAAAGTTAACATAGAATAACAATAGTATGTCAAAGTAGAAGGAAGCAAAGTTTCTTACCTGAGTGAATTTACTAGACAGCCTCCCCTGAGTTGTGACTGTCATCCGTAATATATATCTATTCTATCTATCACAAATAATCGCGTTTACAGATGAAACTTACAATAACATTGTTAATGTGAACGTGAGATTATGTCATTTAGTTGGACTGAAGCATTGATGGCCAGTCGCGAGTATGCCACGAAGGTATATGTGGCACGCACGTGATTTGACCAACGTGGAATACAAACAGCCGTAAAGACAGATAAACGTAATGCACCTTGGTTTCTGTTAGCTTTAGAGATACTTGTCCCGTATTAAGTCCGATGCTCGTTATCAATGTGACCTTGGCAGGTTTAAGATTGAAGAACGTAGTCGGTTAGTCTGTAATATTTCCTGTTTTCAATAACGCATATCGTTATAACATATTGGTAAAACTTTGTCTAGTTTTTCCGTGTTAATATTAATATGCAAATGAAAAAAGGTCAGCCTCGGTACTACCTTCAGTTTTTACGAAGAAGCATGGCTTCGACCTTGTCGGAAAGACTACCGCCCGTATCCCCTTAACCCTAGCCTAACCCTTACCCTAACCCTAACCCTAATCCTGATAATTTAATGTCTGTATGAACAATGTCCTTTATTTTATGGCTTCTAGTCAAATCATATTACCTGAATATATACAAATCTGTTCCCTCATCGTTAAGATGTAGGGAGATACGGGCGGAACTCTTACCACCTTCTCTACTGGGGATCTAAACAAAGTCCCATAGGCTTTCCCTAAACAAGTAAATGGGACAATATTGCTGTGCCTATTTTAAAAATCGTCTATGCCCAACAATCAGTGTGTTAACTTCACACATACAGGCTTGTAACACAGAGGACTGCCACCAAGGTACATACTGTCACTGACGGGACCTTAGCTTATCACAGTAAATACTTTAATGCCTTACAATCATCTGTGACTTCATATGAAGGCAAGGCATCCCTGGAGATGTAATTTAGCAAAGCTCAAAACAGTGTTGATAGCGAATGTTCAGGTAATGATGAGCGTGTCCAGGGCCAAATCGGCGCGCGCTTCAACACCCACAAAGGCAAGCCATCTGAACAGAACAATGTCAACATTTTGTTCAGTTTACAATAAGGAAAATATTTGTTTTCAGCCATTTTAGATAAATATACAAATGTCATTAATTGAGACTCAAACTCCACTTCCGAAAAATGATGAGAGTCCTGATCTGAACTCAGCAGAAGATCTTTGGGATAACCTTGGCTAAACGAAAGAGTGAGCTGGAGACCATTTAGTTCTAAACCTAAATCAGCTGACAAAGGCAGTGCACCGGTAACAGCAGATGGAAATGTTGGAAATAAGACTTTGACGATCAGCGTGAGGGGACGACTTAAACGCTAGAGTTGTGGACATTCAAGATACTGATTGTAGGTTGATACGTGCTGACCCTACATAATATGACAGTCCGTATGGTGGTGTTGGTTGGCGTTGCTGATACTATTCATGGAGGTTTTCAGACATGTGGCACCCAGTTCATTTCAATTGTTTTTCTTGCTCATTGACACATACTGTAAATAGTATATTGAATTGTCCATTATTGTGTATGTTGTTGCCATATGAGCATTCATAGAATTGTTCCTCATTTTCAATCATTGTCATTTTACAACAATTATCTGTCATAATATGTCAAATTAGCTATTTCATTACAGTTAATCATTGACAAGTTCTGATTGACTAGTCAGAATATGATAACCCCCAAATGAAATAATATAACAAACCTAACGTGTCTGTTACCAGGAAATATAGCTCTGAACAAACCAACAGAACAAAGCGGCACTGTCAATGACTGTCGGTGGGCGAACACAGACGCCATGAGAGACGTGTGGGGACAAGACTTCCTCCCCTGGCTGTGGACGGTGTGGCTAACAGCAGGTACTGGTCAGGGACATGTACACACACAAGGACAGGTCAAAACCTACATGGTGGACAGTCGACCTGGGAGAGACTCACCTCATCACCAATCTGAAAATATTCTTTTCACATCCACGCAAGTATTATGAACACACTGTACAGAAAAGAATCACAACTCACTACTCAATGAAAGCTTCATTTGAGAGTTAATTACATACCAAGTTGGATAGAGATACTATATTCATCTGTATAACAGAGTGTACTGAAATCAACAATGTTTCAATGTGGTTAATATCTGTGATAGGATTTGAGGAATATACCATTAGAATATTTGTAACAGAGGTATGATCAATCAATAAACCGATTGATCGATCTACCGAATGCCCAAGCAATCAATCAATGAACCAGTTAGATCAGAGGTATTCAGATGTAATGACACACATTGTTCATAACATTTTGTTACAATGCCTGCCCAGTTAATACCATATGTTCAATGAATCCAACGACTCAATACAGTTTTCCTGAGATGAATTTCACAAATGCTTCCGTTGCAATGATTGTGTTGAATTTCAATGGATCATTCCAATCTGCTAAAGATAAGTATCAGTCTGAATGAATATAGACTTGGCACTACTATTGCATAACTCTGTGCTGCTTTGGGGAAAGAGGTTTGCAAGCTAAAGATGTAAGTGCCATGACTCTACCCCTTAGATCATTCATTTACCAACCTTGATCTGCCTCACCATGTCATATTGACGTCTTGATGTACATTGTGTATTTGTATAATTCTAGGACGAATGAGAGGTTTCATCGTACGGGTTGACAATCGTACCTGCTATCAACAGAGCCAGCCCGACATTCCCACCTCCCCCGTCAACATCAACTGTGTGACACCAATACGTGGACAACATGTCTCTGTCCAGCTGCCAACACTGACCGACTCGGAGTACATACTCAATCTCTGTGAAGTGGAAATTTATGGTAAATAATGCATGCTGCAATTTCTCACTGGATACTGCGTTTGTGGGTGCCGTGATGGATACACTTGGACAGGCTGTCAGGAAAGTACTCGCAGGTTGCCCCGATTACCAACCTATAACGACTCGATATTGTAATGTGTAGTGGTAATATATGGTAATATATGTTTCTGTCTCTATACATTGTCGACTGCTAAGAGATCTATGTGAAATATTTATTCGATTAGGATAACATGTGACATAGTAACTTGATAACACTGAAATTGTTATTATGCTTGAATTTGTTTACTATTCACTTTAGTAAAACCAATACCAATAAATGTTTGTTTGTTTCTTACCAGAGTGCGCTGACGGAGTTTCGGGTCTGGCTGCAGTTCCTGGTGCTACTGTAAGAACACATCTGAGGTGTGTAACAAAACCACTGGACACTGTGAGAGTGGGTGCAAGGATGGCCGTAACGGGACTGACTGTCAGGGACGTAAGTAGATATCTCTTTAGAGTCAAATGAATGAGTGTTGCACTGAGAAAGATAGGTCTATTAAATTCCTGAAAGATTTGCTTAATGCTAGATAGGTTCCCTTACGAATAGCATGGATTTGTATATTTTAAAGTAAACAAAAGAAAGGATAATTATGAATGTTTCCGTGTTGTGTTGTCCAACAAGTGAAAAAACGTCCTAGATGTCACAAAACATGCTCGAAAATATTTCAGGATAATCACGATGTTAACTCTTAAATATTTGAAGGACATGTCAAATGTGACGGCAGTCATGTTACAAGTCCATGAAACCAACTTTACGAATTTTAACTTTCGGAAATACTTGATCCACTTCTTTATTTTATCCCTGAACATATCATTCGGCACGACAATATGTTGGTTGGTTGTTTTGTTGCTTAACACCGCACTCAGCAATATTCCAGCTATATGGCAGCGGTCTGTAATAATCGAGTCTGGACCAAACGGTCCAGTGATCAACAGCATGAGCATCGATCTATGCAATTGGATACTATGACATGTCCCAGTCAGTGAGCCTGACTACCCAATCTTTCAGTTTGGGACTTGGCGATATCATGTTGGGGAAATTCTTAAAGAATGTTATTTCCAATAGATTTTGCATTACTTTCGCAGGGCTCCAGATAAGGGCCGTATCGGCGTATGAACGGATAAAAATATGCACGATACGGTAGGAAATAATTAAGAAAACGTAGCAGATACGCACCACAGCAATTCCGTACTGTCTTAGAATCATTTACAGACGTATTTATCTTGAAAAAGTATTGTTTTATTGGTTATTGACCGTTTACACCAGAATAGCAATGCTGCCGTGCATATATGAAACGAAGCACAAGTTTAATGATAGACCATAAAATTCCAATGTACTCTTATTATTTTCCAGTACTCATATATTGAAAAAATAAGGAGTACGTACTCCTGATGTTGAAAAATTATCTGGAATCCTGCTTTCGATATGGTATCAAGCAATGATTTACTTTATGAATCAAAATAAAATTTGTTTTGTCACTGTAACAATGACTTATTCTTGTATTTTATCTAAGTCCTTCAACAAAGAATAGCTGACCAAATGCGGGTATTAATATTTTCCTGATGCTTATTGCCATGAGCTGGTGTTTTTGTATCAAAATACTGACACCGGAACATGCGTATGTCTTCACCCCCAAGGTTATGGTTAAGGTCCCTGACAGGGGCATATTTACCATTATAAAAAAAGCCCTGTCTTGCACATGATTGTTGCTAAAAAGGCTGGCAAGTCCTCAATACTATCTAGATATAAAGCTTTGCAACCTATAGGGCTTACACGAAGAAATGGCTTGCTACGCGCCTGCCTGAGTGCACGTTTCACAATGGCTGTCCCTAACAAACGGGATGAGTACTGTACACATGTGACCTTTGAAAGGCCTTTAAAAATATTTCAGCCTAAATTAACCCATTCTGTAAAATCTTATTTCATCGAGCATGAAATAAATGCTGATACTGCAAAGATGATAATCTACACAATTCTGAGATTCCAACCACATACAAATCAGATCCCAGCGCCCTGGACATTCGATACTGGCGAATTCAGAGCCCATGTAGACATTGACAGCATCACCTTCACAACTGGTGAGACAAAGTAATATGAGAGTACCCGGCTCGTTATGGATAACAAGTTTAAATCCTTAAAATAGAATGTAGAATTCCTTAAGTCAATGATCAGTCAAGGAGATGTTTCATCATTTATTGTGAGGTCAAGTGTGTTATTCATAAATACATATGCATAAAAGATATTCAAACAATAATTTTAATATACACATTTTGATGGGGAATTAGCATCTCAAACGGTAGAACTTGTATGTATACCAGATATAATATTTCTTCTTTCAACCTAACTTCATATAATAATCATAATAAAAAATCATTCATACAAATCATTGTAACACAAATCACAAGTATACCCTCAGCTGTCGTCATATAAAACATATATACATGATATTTGGCCACTGAACCAATTTGTTCACTATCAGCATATTAGTGATGTAAAGTATATCTAATGTGTCCATACATGAGTGCAATACAGGGCACAACTAATCCATGACAGCACATCTAGTTCACTTTACATATTCAATTAACGACTGAGATATATGCATGTCAATGTTCATGCAAAATAGAAGCATACACATGATATCGCCACTAAAAACATATACATGATATTGCCACTTTCTATTCATAAAAAATATATTCCAGTCATGTCATTATCTGACAGAATTCGTAGAGTTGTACCAAAGAACTTACCTTAAAAATAGATTGTAGAATTGCTTAAGTCAATGATCAGTCAAGGAGGTGTTTCATCATTTATTGTGAGGTCCAAGTGTGCCGATCGGGGAAATCACTGACGACCTCTTTTTATAGCCGAAAACATCACTGATCAATGTTGGAATTCTTTGCGATTGTCCAAAAACATATAATACGGTAATTATGATTTTGGTTGGTTGACATAGATCAAACAGTTAATGATTGGACAAGCGCGAAACGAGTTTTGAGGGGTAGTCACCTGACCGTGACAGGATAATTGCATCAGTTTAATTACGGTTTGTTTTACAACCCTTGACTGGATTAGTTTTAAAGCTGACGTCAGAGGACCGTGTCACAATGGTAATTATCTCAATTAGGGTCAGATTTATTGCAGTTTGTTTCTACAGTTGGTGGCCTGCGGACATCTGCACGGTGGTCATTAAGACATTTACTGAATTGCAATAAACAATGGATTGAGTTTTAAGTTGACACTTTCAATGGTATATGGCTTATGTTAATTATCTTTGCGAAGTGCGTTACATCAGCTGAGCCATGACATGAAGTGACGTTTCAATATTACAACTCTTTAAAATGGAAGTGAAATTTGTGGCAAATATATATAAAATACATACATGCAGAAAGATATACAAATATGAAGAATATAATGATAAATTGTGCACTGTCACAGTAATATGAGAGAACCCATATGATATGTTGTATCCTTGTGACTTTGTGAATATCTTGGGTTGTAAAGCTGTACCATAGAATAATGAAACATACTGCTCAGTAACTCTTGTGAAACTCAGTGTTAACAATCAGCAACCGTTTCACTCTTTGCTCACTCTTTCACTCACTCTCTGCTCACTCTTCACTCACTCTGCTCACTCTTTCCTCATCTCCTCTTTGGCTCACTCTTTACTCCTCCTCTGCTCCTGCTTTCACTCTTGGCTCCTCTTTCACTCATACTCTGCTCACTCTATTCTCACTCACTCTGCTCGCTCTTTCAATCCCTCTGCTCGCTCTTCTTTCACTCACTCTCTGCATCTTTCCTCACTCTCCGGCTCACTCTTTTCACTCACTCTGCTCACTCTTTCGCTCACTCTCTGCTCACTCTTTCACTCACTTCTCTGCTCACTCTTTCACTCACTCCTGCTCACTCTTTCCTCACTCTCTGCTCACTCTTTCACTCATTCTCTGCTCACTCTTTCTCTCACTCTCTGCTCACTCTCTGATAGCATCAATTTTCGCAAATAAATATCAATAAATAACAAATAAATAACAACAACCATAACAATAATATGTAATGTTTCATCGCCATCTTAATAGCCAACAAATAAATATCTTAATAAATATCTTGGCTGACAACAAGCTCGTTCTCATAAATATAGCAATAACTTAAATAAATATGTAATAAATATGATAAATAACAAATGTTTGTCATCATAAATAAATGTCGCCATTAAATGTCTTATTAAATAAATAAACAACAATAAATGTACATAGTTTCTCTTAATATAATAACCGTAAACAAACAAATCGGTTCTTAATAGCTGTTTCGTTCGCTCTTGTCGAATCTTGTCGCTGTTTCGTAGAAAATATGTAATATGTTCATCATCTTGTAAATAACCATCGCTCGCTGTCATCTTAAATAAATATGTAATAAATAACAAATAAAACGACAAATATTAAATAAATATGTGACAAATAACCTTAAATAAATGTCTTAATAATGTGATAAATATTAGATGTCGATCTCTTAATAAACTTAAATAGAAACAACGATAGCCTGTTTAAAGCAAATATCTTAATAAATGACAATAGAAACAATAAATAACAAATAAATAATAATAAATAACAATAAACAAATATAAATATCGCCCAGCCATCAACGAAAATAAATAATAACGGCTCATGTTTTAATAAATATGTAATAAATAGCAATAAATAACTTAAAAGCAATAAGCGAAATAAAATATCGCAGCCGTAAACAAAATAATGAAAGCGGCAAAATATAGCGAAATAAATATGTAACCAAAACCAACAAAATAAAACAAGCAAAACATATGCAGCAAAACCAACAAAACAAAATATGCTAACCAAAATAAACAGGTTTAAAATAATAAATAAATAATAGTTTCAAATAATAACGATAAATGTCTTAATAAGTTTTCTTAAATAAATGTCTTGACACATAACTTAAATAAATATGTGATAAGGAAAAATAACTTAAATAAATATGTAATAATAATAACTTGACAAATGACAAATAAATAAATAAACCAAAGGCAAATAAATAATAAATAAATAACAATAGCGATAAATAGTTCTCTTAATAATAACAAATAGAAACAACGTAATGTCTTGATAGCTGTTTTCGTTTAAATAATGACAAATATGTGATAAATGGCAAATAAATATCTTGTCACTGTTTAAATAATATGCAATAGCAAGCCATCTTAATAAATAACAAATAAAACAATAAGCTGTTCATCATCTCTTAATAAATAACAAATAAAGCAAATAAATAACCATGTCTTATTAAATATGTGAAATAAATATGTAGCAAATAACAAATAAAGCAACGATAGATATTATAATAATATGTGGAAATAAATAACAAATAAATATGTGAAATAAATAACAGAAATAAATATCGATAATAGATGAACGAAATAAATATTGATAAATAAATAATAATAAATATAGTAGAAATATATTGACCAAATGAGCAAATAAATATGTGAAAATAATGTCTTGAGAAATAAACGAAATAAATAATGTAATGAAATAACAAAATATGTAATAAATAACAAATAAATATGTAGTAATATCTTGATAAATATTTTCATCATATGTCATCTTCATCATCTGCTCGGCTCTTTCGCTCATAATGTCATCTTTCGCTCGCCCTTATAAATCTGTGATAAATGTCAAATAATATCTTAATAAATGTTTTCATCATCTCCTTGTAAATCTTTCGCTCATCTTGGCTCCTCTTTCCTCTTTCCTGCTCCACTCTGCTCTCCTCTTTCCACTCACTTTCTGCTCTCTTTTCCTCCTCTGCTCGCTCTTTCCACTCTCCTCTCCTGCTCCACTATTTTCACTCCACCCCCTCTGCTCGCTCTTCCATTCCACTCTTTCCTCTCTTCCTCCTCTCCTCTTCTCTCCTCCTTTCCTCTCTTTCCTCTCTGTTCCTCTACTCCTCTGCTCCACTCTCACTCACTCTTTCCTCTCTGCCTTTCCTCCTCTTTCACTCCATCCTCCTCTTTCCTCTCTCTTTCCTCACTTCTCCTCTACTCTTTCCTGCTCTACTCTTTCCTCTCCACTATTTCCTCTCTCCTCCTCCTCTCTGCTTTCACTCACTCCTCCTTTCCTCTCTACTCCTCTTTCACTCTCTTTCCTCCTTTCCTTTCACCTCCTCTCTCTTTCCTCTCCTCTTTCCACTATTTCCTCTCCTGCTCACTCTTTCCTCACTCTTTCCTCCTCTCTGCTCACTCTTCCTCACTACTCCTCCACTCTCTCACTCCTCCTCCACTCTTTCCTCCTCCTTCCTCTCCTCTCTTCTCCCTCCTCCTCTCACTCCCTCTTTCACTCACTCTCTGCTCACTCTTTCACTCACTCTGCTCACTCTTTCCTCTCCTCACTTTTCACTCTCCTGCTCACTCTTTTCCACTCTTTCCTCTTTCCTCTCTGCTCACTCACTTTCCTCCTCTTTCCTGCTCTCTGCTCACTCTTTCTCCTCTGCTCACTCTTTCACTCTCTCTGCTCACTCTTTCACTCACTCTCTGCTCACTCTTTCACTCACTCTCTGCTCACTCTTTCCTCACTCTTTGCTCACTCTCTGCTCACTATTTCACTCACTCTCTGCTCACTCTTTCACTCACTCTCTGCTCACTCTTTCACTCACTCTCTGCTCACTCTCTTCCTCACTCTCTGCTCGGCTCTTTCCACCTCTCACTCTCTGCTCACTCTCTCGCTCACTCTCTGCTCCACTCTTCACTCTCTCCTGCTCACTCTTTCCTCCTCACTCTCTTTCACTCACTCTCTGCTCCCTCTTTCCTTACTCTGCTCCTTCACTCTTTCACTCACTCTCTGCTCACTCCGCCTTTCACTGCTCCTCTCTGCTCACTTCACTCTTTCTCACTCACTCTCTGCTCACTCTTTCACTCACTCTCTGCTCACTCTTTCACTCACTCTGCTCACTCTTTCACTCACTCTCTGCGCACTCTTTTACTCACTCTCTGCTCACTCATTCACTCACTTTCGGCCATTTTCATACACATGAAAGCCACATGAAATTCGTTACCAAAATAAACGCAGTACAATTTTCTTTGGAATAGAGTTGTTGAATCGTATAAATAATTGTGATTTGAAAGAAGCTCGTAAGAAATACTACACTTATAAATATCAATGTTTACTTCAGAAAGTATTTCGTCGGATCGAAACACATGAAAACTACATGCGGACCTCATAATGGATAACAGGTTGTCTTTACTGACAATATGTCATTTGATCTATCACTTGTCTGGCCCGTCACAAATGCCTTAAGGCAATCCTTCATATTCACTTGGCCAAGTCAACTTCCTGTAATTCAAAATGCACTTATTGAAGTAGACAGGTGACAGAGAGGTAATGCTGGCATGGACCTGCTGTCGGTGTATGTATTTTAGGAAATGTATTTGTTTTTCTGAAAACTAGTGTGCGCTGACGGAAGTTTTGGGCCTGGCTGTAGATTCAGGTGCTACTGTAGGAACACATCTGAGGTGTGTGACAAAACTACTGGACACTGTGAGAGTGGGTGCAAGGATGGAAACACTGGGATGGGCTGTCGGGAAAGTAAGTTTATGAAGCCCATAACACCAACCTGTGACGGGTGTATTGTGTCAAACATATTACAAAGGGTGTGTGAGGGATGAAATTTATAAACTTGTAATGTGATACAGTATCCATGTTTTCATTTCATCAGGCTCGCAACAATATGGCCCAACCTATACACTATCGTTACAGATTGTCCCAAGGGACGCTATGGTTCTGGCTGCATGGAGACGTGTGGACATTGTGCTGGGGGAGACGGGAACTGCTATGAGATAGACGGGTACTGTACAGATGGCTGTCAGGACAACTGGAGTGGAACAGTGTGTAAAGGTTTGTATTAAGATCTATGTGTATCTTTCCTCCACGTTTCTTGAAGTTGTTTGGCCAGGATACGTTTACCTCTTTGTGCACACCTGTTTAACAGTAATTCGTGAACACATGCCTTTGGTATTGTTGAACTCATAGACCAGCATTTAAGTCGTTATGAAACGGTGCTCATGCTAGTATCTGTAGCAAGTCATACGCCAAGTATCATGTTATATTACAGAGTGTTTTGTTACGAGATGATGGCTTACCAGTAAATCAGTTTGCACAGAAATAAATTGTTCATGCAGCAAATGACCTCATATAGTTACTTGATAATCTGCAAACCAGTGGATAACAAATAACAAGTTCGTATCAATACAAAGGATCAAAACTATGGTTGAAATAATCGACAGCAGTAGTAACAGTGGCAAGAACTAAAATATGTGAATTACCGAATTTTCTGAATATTTACAATGAAGAATACCATCATGGTCAGGAGATCTGCCTCCGTTCCTGAATCAGGAATAGCGTCGAAATTTGGCACGAATTCAGTGTTTACTTCAAATTGCTGTCTCGTTGCTCTTATAAGACTATAGCCAGTCTGCTAGAAATGATTCCATCCAGGTACGTTGTACCTCCGCACGACGACTCGTGTTAACTGCCAGGCAAATAACCCAAAAATGTTCGGTTAAAAAAACATCTGGTTAAGGCTTCACTGGCACATTCAACAGGGGTACTAATGGGCCAGAGAGCACTTGGTATTTCTTCACCAGCTACCACATACACACCTGGTCTCCACCCCCAATAAAATAATTGACCGTGTCTCCCTTTTGATCTGTCAACATTCTATACATATAATGTATGAGTATGATATAGATGTTCCTCGTGTAGACATCCAATCACGGGAGGTATACCAAACAATGTTGCACAAAACTATCCGGTCTGCTTTGATTTCCGTATTAGCACTTTGGGTGAGTGAGTTAAATTTTACGCCGCACTAAGCAATAGTCCAGCTATATGGCAGCGATCTGTAAAGAATCGAGTCTGGACCAGGCAATCCAGTGATCAACAGCATAAGCATCGATCTACGCAACTGGGATTCGATGACAGATGTCAATCACGTCAGTGAGCCTAACCACCCGTTACCATTAGTCGCCTCTTACGACAAACATGGGTTACTGAAGACCAATTCTAACCCGGATCTCCACGGGTAATCAGCACTTTGGTTTCCAAAGAACAGAGAAGAGCCCATGATATGTGAAGTAGATAGCTGCATGGGGGAATGGCTTAGTAATTGTTGTCAAGTGCACACGAACCTGTAACTCTTTCGTAATGTTTTTTTTCTTGTTGAAAAAAGCGTGGAACATAACCTTCATGAGTCTAAAAGGTAGAATTTTTACTCTTGTGTGTTATTGTCTACAATGGTTGGATTCCGCCAGTAAAACCTGTTCCATGATTTTCAATTCACGGCACCACTTATATCTGGGATAGAGAGAAATGATCCGGACAGCTTTCATTTCTGTATCAACACTTTGGTTTCCAAAGAACAGGGAGTCCAGTATGTGTGAATTAGATAGTAGCATTGGGAAATAGTTGAATAGTTGTTGTCAAATACACACGAACCTGTAACTCTTTTGTAATGTCTTTTGGTTGAAAGTACTTGGAACACAGTCTTCATGAGGCCACTCGCGTGGATTGTTGTCTGTTGTGTGATGTTCCAGAGTGCAGTGACAACTGGTTCGGTGACCAGTGTGACATGGAGTGTAGATGTAAGAACAGACAGGAAGTGTGTGACAAGAGGACAGGCCAGTGTCACTCTGGATGTGAAGACGGATGGACAGGACTGGACTGTCATAAACGTGAGTAGTGTGGTCATTGTGATCACCGTCAGCTGTCAGACCCAGTTATTATACACGTGTGTGTGTAGGTTACAAACTAGAGCGTTGCTGGCTAAACCAAGGGGGGTGGGGAGAGGAATTCACTATTAAAGCATAAACAAGATGTTAAGGACCGATGTGAGTTTACAATACATAGCGCCACTGAATGCCTGACGGTTACGTTATATCTACGGTGTGGCGTCATATTATACGTATTGGTTTACTGTGTATCCAGGAAATAGTTGCTTAACAAATAGCTGTGTTACACACAGTCAGTGCCTTTCATATACGTAACTTAGTATTTTGGTGTAAAAATACAACTGTTGAGTATCAACATCATTCTAGTGTTTAATGATTGATCATATAAAACGTCAAACCTACATATAACATAGATTTACACTGAAAACGTAGCTTTGTTCTATATTCCTAAGAATGACGTTATGTCTGTTGGAATACACTGAGGGGTGTGACGTCACAATATTACTGTTTATTACCCTGAAGATAAATTTGTCGAATTCTGATTAGTCAATAGCAAAAGCATACCAAATCACGAACCGTATACACTGTCAAATCTGTCATGTGACACACTACATGGGGTTTACGAATGACCTTGACCTTAGATGGAATGTGGCTGCCATACGGCTGATCGCTTTGAAATTTGAGAGTTGGTGTATAAAATAATGAGTATAAACAGACCAATAAAATTGTTGTCATAATTTTTTATTTGTTGTGTCAATGAATATATCCAAAGAATAAAATGTTTTTGTATTTCACTTGTCGTTTTACAAAACCTCAAATTCAATATTTTTATCATAAACTAAGCCATCCCGAGTTATCTCCCTTTTATGACCGTTCAGGAAAATCCATGGCGAAATGTCTTGCGTCTCATTCTGCCGATGATTGAATGTTGTTGTTTACAGACAACCTAATAAAAATATCTTAAAGGGTAATAAATTCGTCACACGGTCTTTTGAAAGGTGTACTGGACTGTAAGACCTGGACTGTAAGACCCGTACACCCTTTCAAAACACCGTGTAACTAATATTGTTTCATTTTATTTAGGAAGATGGGTATATACACTGAACTTTAAATACTAATGTATATGTGTGTGTGTGTCTGTGTGTGTGTGACATGATACAATACATCGATTTACAAATTATACTGATGCGTCGATGAACAACCTGTCCCCTTAACTTTAGGCCGGGTTCATCTAGCGTTGACATCTCATCTAAAAGGTTGAGAACGGATTATGATCACTTCAGACAATGGGTACATACAAACTGCAATTCATAGGCGTCTTCACAGATTATGTTTGGTCAGTAAAAAGTACCAAGTATAACCGTATTGGTGAAATACCTAGAATATTTTTGAGCTCTATTATTATACTAAATGCATCTTCCTCCACGAACATTCTGATGTAATTTGACAGCGTGCCAGGACGGGACCTACGGCTTCAACTGTACAGGCAGATGTGGGAGGTGTCAGGGTGGACAGACATGTGACAAAATAGGAGGAGAGTGTCAAACATGTGCCCCCGGATTCAAGCCACCGTTTTGTCAAGGTAAGGAGCTACGAATAAAGTGCATCAAGATTGCAGGATAGTATTGACAATATCCGTGTAATAATCAATTCATGGAATCAGTATGTGAAGGTTTGCCTACTTTCGTCTAGGAGTACGATGTTCATAATGTAAAGTAACGGTCTGTCATGCAGAGTGTGATGACTACTTCTATGGGGAGCAATGCAGCTCTAGATGTGGCCATTGTCGTGGTAACGCCACCTGCAATAACGTGTCAGGAGATTGCCCGGATGGATGTGAACCAGGATGGCAAGGGATGATGTGCCACCAAGGTAACCAGATCGTTTGTCTTTCACTTTCTCTTAAAGGAAAGCAATTTTGCTTCAAACAATCGTGGTATAATATTTTGGAATGTTTTATAATTATTTTTTTGCACCCTGATGCACGTACAACCCACTATAACAATTGTAAAGTTCTTTTAATTACATTTGTTATGGAAACGAGATGCTTCGTGACAAGTTGAGTATGTCAGGTAGAGAGGTATAACAGCCTGTACTGCCTGATTGTGTTGTAGAAGGCATTTCATATCAGGGGGAGGGTGAACAAAGGTGGAGTGTGGCGAAGGTAAGTGTTGTCAGGGAGAGTGAACAAGGTGGAGATGTGACGTAGGTTAGTGTTGTCAGGAAGGGTGAACAAGGTGGAGATGTGGCGTAGGTAAGTGTTGTCAAGGAGGGTGAACAAGGTGGAGATGTGACGTAGGTTAGTGTTGTCAAGGAGGGTGAACAAGGTGGAGATGTGACGTAGGTAAGTGTTGTCAAGGAGAGTGAACAAGGTGGAGATGTGACGTAGGTAAGTGTTGTCAAGGAGGGTGAACAAGGTGGAGATGTGACGTAGGTAAGTGTTGTCAAGGAGGGTGAACAAGGTGGAGATGTGACGTAGGGTAAGTGTTGTCAAGGAGAGTGAACAAGGTAGAGATGTGACGTAGGTAAGTGTTGTCAAGGAGGGTGAACAAGGTGGAGATGTGGCGAAGGTAAGTGTTGTCAAGGAGGGTGAACAAGGTGGAGATGTGACGTAGGTTAGTGTTGTCAAGGAGGGTGAACAAGGTGGAGATGTGGCGTAGGTAAGTGTTGTCAAGGAGGGTGAACAAGGTGGAGATGTGACGTAGGTTAGTGTTGTCAAGGAGGGTGAACAAGGTGGAGATGTGGCGAAGGTGAAGTGTTGTCAGGAGGGTGAACAAGGTGGAGATGTGGCGTAGGTAAGTGTTGTCAAGGAGGGTGAACAAGGTGGAGATGTGACGTAGGTTAGTGTTGTCAAGGAGGGTGAACAAGGTGGAGATGTGACGTAGGTAAGTGTTGTCAAGGAGGGTGAACAAGGTGGAGATGTGACGTAGGTATAGTGTTGTCAAGGAGGGTGAACAAGGTGGAGATGTGACGTAGGTTAGTGTTGTCAAGGAGGGTGAACAAGGTGGAGATGTGACGTAGGTAAGTGTTGTCAAGGAGGGTGAACAAGGTGGAGTGTGGCGAAGGTAAGTGTTGTCAAGGAGGGTGAACAAGGTGGAGATGTGACGTAGGTTAGTGTTGTCAAGGAGGGTGAACAAGGTGGAGATGTGACGTAGTTGTCAGGGAGGGTGAACAAAGGTGTTGTCAAGGAGGGTGAACAAGGTGGAGAAGGTGGAGATGTGACGTAAGGTAAGGTGTTGTCAGGGGAGGGTGAACAAGGTGGAGATGTGACGTAGGTTAGTGTTGTCAGGCAAGTGTTGTCAGAGGGTGTGAACAAGGTGGAGGTGGAAGGTAGGTTAGTGTTGTCAGGAGGGTGAACAAGGTGGAGATGTGACGTAGGTAAGTGTTGTCAGGGAGGGTGAACAAGGTGGAGATGTGGCGAAGGTTAGTGTTGTCAAGGAGGGTGAACAAAGGTGGAGATGTGACGAAGGAAGTGTTGTCAAGGGAGGGTGAACAAGGTGGAGATGTGGCGAAGGTTAAGTGTTGTCAGGGAGGAGGGTGAACAAGGTGGAGATGTGACGTAGGTTAGGTGTTGTCAAGGAGAGTGAACAAGGTGGAGATGTGACGTAGGTAAGTGTTGTCAGGAGGGTGAACAAGGTGGAGATGTGGCGAAGGTAAGAGGTGTTGTCAGGAGAGGGTGAACAAGGTGGAGATGTGACGTAGGTTAGTGTTGTCAAGGAGGGTGAACAAAGGTGGAGATGTGACGAAGGTAAGTGTTGTCAGGGGAGGGTGAACAAGGTGGAGATGTGACGAAGGTGGGGTGTTGTCAGGGAGGGTGAACAAGGTGGAGATGTGACGTAGGTAGAAGTGTTGTCAGGGAGGGTGAAAAGTGTTATCAAAGAAGAAGTAGGCTCAGGAGTAGAGATGTAAAAATGGGATAAAAGTATCAAAGGGAAAGTGAATCAAAATTAGAATGTAACTTGTAAATAAAGTATTGTCAAAGAGAGAAGTAAGGTACAAAAGAGTAAGAATGTAATAAGTTGGAAATGTTATCAAAAGTGGGCTAAAAGAGTGAGAATAAATTTTATTGTCAAGAGAAATGGTCGTGGAACTATGGCAAAGTAAAAATTATCAAGGAAAAATAGACAGAGGTAGAGAATGTAATGAGATTAGATGTTAATCAAGAGGAGTAATTATAGATAATTAGTGTGTAGCAAAAGACAATAAGGTTAAGTGTTATCAAGGAAGAGTAGACTCTAAAAGGTAAAATCATAGCTTAGTAAAAGTGATTAAATTATCATCAGGGAAGTGGGATAAAATTAGAGATAGCAAAATTAAAGTGTTATCAAGAGAGAGAAGTTAGATAAAAATTAGGCTTTAATAGCAGAGTAAAGGTATTTATCAAGGGAAAGTGTAAGGCTAAAATTAAGAATCTTGGCTTATGGGATTAGTATTTATCAAAGAGAAATTAAAAAGAATTAAGAGCTATACTTGAAAGAGAAAAGTATTGTCAAAGGAGAACAGATAAAATTAGAGAATGTGGCTTGTAGATTAGTGTTATCCAGGAAGGATATAGGTGAACTGTGAAACAAAATAAAGTGTTATCAAGGAGGAGTAGATAAAATTAAGAAAATTAAAATTATCAAAGGAAGGTGGAGAGTGGAGAATGTGAGCATGAAATTACGTGTTATCAAAGAAGTAGGTAAAAATTAGAATGTAAGAGAAAATTAAAGTGTTATCAAGGGAGTGAATAAAATTAAGAATGAAAATTAAAGTGTTGTCAGGGAAGGGAGTGGGCTAAAAATTAGATGTAGAAAAATAGGAAGTGTTATCAAAGGAAGAGGATCAGATAAAAGATGGAGACTGTGAGAGCAAAAAGTAAAAGTGTTATCAAGGGAAGAGGTAAGACTCAAATTAAAGTCTGTAAGCAAAGTAAAATATTTATCAAGAAGATGGGCTAAGAATTAAGAGGTAAACTTGTAAGTTAAAATTATCAAGAGAAGTAAGGCTCATTAGAGATAGAGAATTAAAAGTGTTATCAGGAGGAGTAATTTCAAGAGTGCAGAATATAGCAAAATTAAAAGGTAATGTTATCAAAGGAAGGTAATTCCAGGTAGAGAAGTCTTAATAAAGTTAGGAGTATGTGTCAGGAAGATGAGGCTAAAGAGTAGAGATCTCTGTAAAATTAAAATTGTCAAAGAAGTAGTGGCTACAGTGGAGATGTAGCATGAGAGTAAAGTGTTATCAAGAGAAATTAGATAAAATTAGAATGTAAGCAAAGAGTAGAGTGTCAAGAGAAATGGGCTAAAAGATGGAGATGTGACATGGGATTAAATGTTATCAAGAAAAGATGAATCACAGGAGTAGAATCTTGGCTTAATAGAGTTACAGTATTTATCAAGGGAAGGAAGTAGACAAAGAGTGGAAACTAGCAGAGAAATAAAAGATTGTCAAGAGAGGAGTGGAGAATCAAGGAGGGAATGTGACAATAAAGTTAAGTGTTGTCAAGGAGAATTGGGCTAAAAGTGGAGATGTAGCAAAAAATTAAAGGTATTGTCAAAGGGAGGTAAAAATAAAATTAGATGTAAAGTAAAATGTGTTATCAAGGAGATGGAACAAAGTGCAGAGACTTGTGGGAGTTAATGAGTGTTGTCAAGAGGAAATGAACTCTAAAAGGTGGGAGATGTGACATGAAAATTAAAGTGTTATCAGGGAAGATGAATAAATTAAGAGCTTCTTAATAGGGATTGTGTATCAAAGGATAAAGATTTCTAAAAGTGGAGAGAAGCAAAGAGTAAAGTATCAAGGGGAAGGTGGAATTTCAGGTTAAAGTCTTGAAAATTAAAAGTGTTATCAAGGGAGTGGAGGAGTGGAGATGTGACATGGGATTAGTGTTAATAGAGAAGTGGGTAAAATTAGAGATGGAAAATTAAAATTTATCAAAGGAGATGGAGCTCAAAGATGGGAATAGCAAAGTAAAATTTATCAAGGAGGAGGAGGAGGTGGGCTAAAGTGGAGGAATGTGTAGAGTTAAAGTATTGTCAAGGGAGAATTTCTAAAAGAGTGGTGTGTGAAAGAAAAATTAAAGTGTTATCAAGGGAAGGTGAATAAAATTAAAGTGTAGCAAAGAAAAATTAAAGTGTTGTCAAAGGAGAAATGAATTTCAAGAGAATCTTAGCAAAATTAAAGTGTTATCAAAGTTAGATCGTGGAAGCTATGGAAGAAAATTAAAGATATTGTCAAAAGGAAGATTAGATAAAGTCAAGCTGCATGAAAATTAAAAGTGTTGTCATCAAAAGAGGTGAGTACAAAGTGGAGTGTGGCTTGTAGAGTTAAGTGTTGTCAAAGGAAGTGGGCTAAAGTGGAGAATGAAGCAAAATTAAAGTGTTGTCAAAGTGAATAAAGGAAGGAGATCTTAAAATTAAAAGTGTGTTATCCAAGGGAGAATTAGGCACAAAATTGATCATGACATAAAATTAAGTGTCAAAGTGAATAAAAGAGTGGAGATAAAAGTGTTGTCAAGGAAGGTGGGCTAAAAGGTGGAGATGGCAAAAGTAAAAGTGTTGTCAGGAGGTGGGTAAAATTAGAGGAGAATGGGATTAGATGTGAATTAAAGATTAGAGATGTGGAAAGTAAAAGTGTCAAAGTGGACAAAAGATTAAGAATGTGGCAGAAAAGATAAAGTGTTGTCAGGGAGGTGGGCTAAAATTAGGAGATGTGGCTTGAAGGTAAAGTGTTGTCAGGGGAGGGTGAACAAAATGGGAGATGTGGAGAATTAAGTGTTTGTCAAGGAAGTGAAGAGTGGGAGAATGTGAGCGAGAAATAGGTTAGTGTTGTCAAAGGTGAGGCTCTAGGTGGGAGATGTGGCTTGTGGGGCCACGTGTTGTCAGAAGGTGGAAGTCCAAAGGAAGGTAAACAAAGTGATAGAGGAAATAGAGTTAAAGTGTTATCAGGAAAGGAGGTATAGACAAAATTAATTAATGTAACAAAAATAAAATTATCAAGAGGTGATAAAGTGGAAGTAGCAAAAAATAAAATGTTATCAAGAGAAGTAATTTCAAAATTAGAGGAAATATAGCAAAAATGAAAATTGTCAAAGGAAAGTAGACTCAAGAGTAGAATCTTAATAAATGAAGTATTATCACAGGAAAATGCTAAAATTAAGAGGTAGGCATGGGATTAAGTAGTGTCAGAGTAAGGCTAAAATTAGAGGAATCTTGAAACAG